GCCATAACATAATTTACAGATTTCTTCCCATATGGCTGATTGCAATAGCACATACAGCAAAATATCAGCCGGCAACATTTGCTTAATAAATTGTGTCTCTGAGCAGGAAAAGCTGTATTGTTTCAGTAATTCATACTCGCTAAGCTTTTATGACGGGATCCTGTCATGGTTTGCAGTCAGTGCCCAACGCAGCCCCCAAGGCACAGCGCTGCCAGTGCCCACACCCAGCACCTGGGGTTGGGGGCAGTGCCACTGGGAGCCCCCACCTGCCCTCAGCCATCCTGTGGGTGCCTGGAGGTGTTTGCTCTTAGCTCAGCAAGGATCGGCCCCGAAAGTGCCATCAGCATTTGTCAGGAGAGCAGAAATGATACCATCTGGTTCCTGTATCTGCTCACAGTCAGTGAATTTCAGACCCAGTTTGCTCAATTTTCTGAGTCAAACAAGGTCCCTCTCCTGAACACAGCTCTGAAAGGGCTTGGTGTCCTCAGTTAGCAAACCAACCCCAGGCAGTGGGAGCGGGGACATGGCTTAGCTCAGCTCAAGTTGACTCTGGCCCTGCTTGGTGAGGGGCTGCTCTGGGGACAGCCCTGGGCATTGCTCCCCATGCTCAAGCCAAACTCTGCAACAGAGATCACAGAATCACAGAACGGCCTGGGTTGGAAGGGACCTCAAGGGTCACGAAGCTCCAACCCCCCTGTGCCATGCAGGGCCACCAACCTCCCCATTTCACAGCAGCCCAGGCTGCCCAGGGCCCCATCCAACCTGGCCTTGAACACCTCCAGGGATGGACGGGGCATCACAGCCTCTCTGGGCAGCTGTTCCAGCACCTCACCACTCTCACAGCACAGAACTTCCCCCTGACATCCACCTCAATCTCTCCTCCCTCAACTCCAAACCATTTCCCCTTGTCCTGCTGCCATCTCCCCTTTCCAAGAGCTGATTCCCCTCCTGTCTGTAGGCTCCCTTTAGGTACTGCAGGCTGCACTGAGGTCACTCTGCAGCCTTCTTTTCTCCAGGCTGAACAAGCCCAGCTCCCTCAGCCTGGCTTTGTAGGGGAGGTGCTGCAGCCCTCTGATAATTTCGTGGCTCTCCTCGTGGCTCTCCCCTCTCCAAAGAGATGTTGTGATCCAGCTCCGCCTTCCTTCAGCCCAGAGGCAGCAGAAGAGCATGAGCACAGGTCCGGACGCCAGACAGGGGGTGTCCTGCTCTGCTGCCATTTGCCCTTGGGCACTGCTATAGTCAATGCACGTAACCCACTTCCAATACTGACAAATGCAGCGGGGAAAACGAGACTTTTTTTTGCATTGATGTTTTTTTCTCTCATTCAGCATTTGCATGCACATCGCTTTAGCGGGAGAACCAAGCCAGCACCAGCTCTTTTCTCAGGCTAACGAGGGCTGACGAGCAGCATCGCAGCGCCCCGAGCTCCACGCGCTCCTGCCCTGGGCTCCGGGCTGGGCGCTGAGGCTGAGCCGCCGCGGCAGAGCAGCGCTGGGAGCCGGGGCTGCCGGTCCCCACACGCAGCCCGGCGTGACATGGAGGCGTTCCCGTGTGCCGCAACGGCTGCGCACGGCACCGCTCCTCAGGGAGCTGCGATGGGCTGTAATGAGGGCAGGATGCAGCGTAGCCTTAAATGCGACCTGAAATAACCAGAAACAAACCGCATTTGTGACAGCTCTGCTGTCGTGAACATCCCATTCCGGGAATGCGAATACGGACATGAAGTGTGAGGGAGCTGTGTAGCACTGGAACTGGAATGTCCCTGTGAGTGTGCATAAGGGCAGTTTCCATAGCATCTACTTCACAACTTCTATGAGGCTTAAGCTATCTCTCATGCAGTCAGGTTTAATAACACAGATGCGTCCTCTGTGCTCAGCTCATGTTAATGATATGTGTTGACTTCTGCATATTGTAAATTGTTCATGAAATGACCATTTTCTGTCTACTGGAAGTGTTACTGTGCAATTATTGCTTTGTTACACAGTCTGAAAAATGAGCTTTAAAAATATTCCTTTTCACTCATTAGCGAAGTAGCGGATCCTCATTGAGAAGTACATTCCTGGATGATGTTCTCTTCATGGCAGAGCCTGAAGAGTGTGTCTTTTGAGCTTCAGCACTTCTGCCTGTGCTCACATGCAGCAAAGGGCAGAGCTGAGCCCTCCTGAGCACCCCGGCCCTTTGCATGGCTGCAGCTGGGGTGGCTGCGTAGAGCAGTGAGGCTGTGCTCCTCGCTGTGGGGGTGCAGCACTGCTGACTGGGCTCGAGCCACTGCAGCATTTACGAGAGCACCACAGTTCTGTATTTCCCCAGCCTGTCCTGTGCCTCTGTGTATGTTTTATTGCCCCAAAGGTACGGATTTACACGGTCTGAGAAGTAGATGTCATGCAAATCATGGTGCATAATTCTCACCACCTCTTGGTACCACACGTGCTGATGAATGCAATTTATCTGTAGGAAGGAAAAGAAATTTTTCACATGACAGGTCTTTCTCTTCTCCTGTTTTGCTCATTGCTTTGGAATTAGATGTGACAGTTTTGTGCTTATGTAGCATCATTTGTTCTGCCATGCTAATAGCACGCCGGCAAAAGGTTAGCCCTCCTCCCACTGGGCTCTGGGCTTTCCTCCTCCTGTGCCCCTTTGCACTGCACGTTTCCCACAACACACACACGTTTCTTCAAGGAGAACAGACCTCAATCAGAAAACTGAAGATGTGTATTAACCACTTACGTAACACGGACACGTTACCTTACGAATGGCAGAGCATTCCTGCAAGCAGAGCCTCATTCTGGCATTAAAATGTTAATGCAGCAAAGATCGGTTCAGAAACAAGTTTATGTTGAATGCAAACTCAGAAATCCATCGTGGCAGCCTTCGTGCGCTGGTAGGAGAAGCCCCCGAGGGCAGTGAGCTGTGGCAGTGACTCATGGCCGCCTGCCGCGGCCGCGCTGAGCTTCACGCACCACACAGTCATTGGGGATGGCAGCGGGGGGGCAGGCTCATCCCATGCCCAGTCCTGCCCTGTGCCCTGGATGTGCTCCCGAGCCACCTGCAGACCCCATCCAGCAAAGGACTGGGCCGGTCCTAATCTTTAAAACTCAAAAAATTGCTACCATTTAAAAGAAGAGGGCACAGGGAGGGGAGGGGTGTTTTCCCAAAGCGCTCTCATGAATCTAGATGTGAGCAGACAAACTTCTTCCCAATATCTTGCTTCTTTCTCCCAATATTTTCAGAGCAGTTTATGTTTTCAGTGAATTTACTCCTGGAGCTATTTTTCTCCCAAGGCACTGGAAACAGCAGCACAAACACCTGTAAGAAGCAGAGAGAGCTGGATGCATTTCGAGAAGTAGAAATGAAGAACAGAGGGATATAGGACTGATATGATGAAAAGGAGTGCAATAGAGCCTTGTATTTGCTGATTTATGGTGTCTCCAGGAGTGAGGCAATAGGTTTCCTATCCAGCCTGGGAGGGATTTCCATAATATGTCTGAGCCTCCTTTGGTTTCTGGTCATTGAACAGCTTCAAACTGAAACCTAACAGAATGAGGCCAGATGGGGCTATAGCCTCACTCAGTGGCAGTTAGAGGGTCGTTTCATTGAGCTCCCCCCTTGCCAGTGGAAGGTCGTTCCTCTTTCTCATCCCCTGCTGAGCCTTTGGCTTCTCTGTGTTATTGTGTTCCACCACACTGTACAGTGCTGAGTCCTAAAATTTCCCTATGGGACTGTGAGCGTGCACAAATACAGCTGTGTGTTTGCCCTGCGTGCCCACAGCCAGTGCCACCAGCTGCAGGATGGTGCTGGGCTGCAGGGATCTCTCTGTTGCGCCTTTGTTCTGGGGATCAGTCTTGTCCTCAGTTGTGCTGCATGGACCATGGCTGTGTGCATCCACTGGGACAGGCGCTGCCAGCACCCATGGGGTCATTGCAGCAGCTCAACAGATCCCTGGCTGGTTAGACAGCAATCACATTCTTACCAGAAAAAGTGCTTGTTTTAATTGCGATAATCTGATGTTTGGCTCAGGAGCACCCGCTCCACACATGCAGAGCAGCACTGTGCTTCGAGCTGTTCTATGGGAAGTACAGCTGTGCACCGTGGCTACATGGGATAGCACTTACTGCTTCAATGAGCAGAGGTTTTGTAATTGTTTTATGCCCCAACATGACTTGTAGTGTTGTCTTGAATAGAGCTGCAAACATTGCAGAATAGGGAGGAAAAAGGAAATAAGCTTTATTCTTGTTCTTGAAAGAAAATTTGCCTTTTCTTTGTCAGTCCTTACTGATGGTACTCTACTAGCAAGGAATAAAGCAAAGGTTGCTGTAAGCAAGAAGCTGTGCAAGGCCATGCCCTTGGAGCCCTCGTATGCTGCTGTCAGCCTCTGTGAGGCATGTCACAGGGCTGCAGGGCTGTGGGGACAAGTACAGCTGCAGCTGGTGTCAGTGGGGCTGGGGAGCTGAGGGAAGACTGAGTGCTGGCATCGCTTCTTGACTGCTCTCGAGCGCTGACTTGGCGGTGGATGAGTTTGTTGTGATAGAATGTGAGCATCCCTGCAGACACTCCGTGTACATGCAAGTATCCATCTGCAGGCCAAGGCAGCAGAGAGTGTGGTGTCATGGTGGTTCCATGGTGTCCAGGAAAAAGGGAAAATAAATCTTATTTCTACCTGCTAAACAGATCCGTGGTGTTAATTATCGTGGCCATTGGAGATGACATGAACATGACTGTACCACCTATGGCAGGAAGGAGCCTCTCTGCAGTTGCTCCCCTTGACTTGAGGACGTGGGGTCTGTGGCATAAGCAGACCTGCTCTCCAGAGTGTGCTCTGCAATGGGTTTGTTCCTCAGGTGAATCTAGCAATACTTGTTGAGCGTGCTTGAAGGACTTCACAAATGACATAACCTCTGCTTCGTACCTGGAGGTGAACCAAGTTAAACAGCATTTGATTTTCAACGCAGGAGGGGAACCTTTAGGTCACGGCTTGAACTGGCAGTGGAGCACCTGTGAAGGGCTGTGGCTGCCCAGAGAGCTCAGGAACGTTGTTTGCAGCTGTGCTCCACAGCTGAGCAGAACGGCCGGACCCAGAGAGGAGCCTCCATGGGCTCATATAAGAGCCAGCCAGTGGAAGGAAAATCTGGACCTGGGCAGCTTTCTGAGGAGGTGTTCTGTGCAGCCTAAGAGCCCCTTCACCAGTGGGGTGAGTGCAACTCTTCTTTGTCTTCCTGCTTATGGCTGTTGGCCTACCTGTGAATGCTTTGCTCGGTGCTGCCAAGAACCTTTCAGAAGAATTTAGCTTCTTCATGGGCAGAACAATGTCCGTAGCTCTTGTCCCCACTTGTTGGATAAGGAGAAACAAAAGCAGTCTGTTCTCTGCTGGGTGAAGTACTGAGAACAACCAAGTACAACAGCTTTTCTAGCTTCCTTTTTGTTTCATCATGATAAACGTAATAAGGAGCTGAAAAAAAAAAGTAGGCTGTGCTCATAACAAAAGCTGGGGTTTGGGCTACACTGCAGCAGATGGCAGGGATGGGGCTGCAAAGTTCTGGGGCTGCATGGGCTGGGCCGAAGCAGTGACTGCTGGAGTGGGGAGTGCTGCAGAGCAAGATAGGAGCAAAAACTCAAAGCTTAGAGCTGGTAAGAATTTAAAGCTTAATCTCATAATAACCCCAGTAACTGATATTTCTTACAGAAAAGAGCCTTTTGAATTTATCCTATCCTGGAACTCACATGGACTTCTCCACAGTCCTAAGTAACTCACCAGCTATGTTTGCATGCCATTTTAGCTTAGTATGTTTCCTTTTTTCTTGCTTTCTTAAGGATTCTGTATTTCAGTAGCTCTCTCACATATTTCATTAACAGTGTGCTTTGTTAATATCTTTTTACAGTGATTAGAATTTTAAATGCACATTTGAAGAGAACCCAAAGAGATTAAATGAGTGTTAATAGAATTTATACAGTCTATTAGCAACTTTGTGCCATGTTTGTAAAATTCATGAAGCGACGTCTTTAATTATATATGCTGATGAAATCTAGGATTAAGGGCCTACCAGTGAATTATTGTTTAAGGTTGAACCACACATCCATCTTATCTTCTGGTAGAAGGCACTGACCAGTGCTGTCAGAGCCTCGCAGATCCATTTATCACCAAGGAACTGGCCGTGTATTGAAGGTAACCTGAGAGTTTGGTTGCCTCACCCTGGAGCTGGGTCTGTTTTCTAATGTGCTCACGCTCCATAGTATCACAGGTCCTGTCTGAGGACAGTGGCATTGCTGGGGCAGGCGCAGGCAGTGGGCATGCGATGGCTGTGCTGGTGGCAGAGTCCTGCAGTGCTGTGGGTGCTCACCAGTGGCCTGCAGCCTGCAGCACCTGCCTTCAAGGGCCTCAAAGTAGTGCAAAAATAAAGGCCCAGTACTGGGAAGGAAGTGATGTAATTTGTCCCCAGGGCATTTTCTCCAAGACTTTGAGGCAACACTTCAACTCCCTGCAAACCTTTGTGGCTGGTGACCTGATGTTTCTTGTCCTTAAAGATCTCTCTCCTGGTATGCAATTCCAAGTTCTCTACTCCCAGTTCAAACCTTCATCTAAATTTAGGAGGAAATTAAACACTGATGCTCTAACAGGAGCAGGGACAGGTGTCCAGCTGAGAGCCTAATAACACAGTGCTGCATGAAATCAGTCTCTCACACAGTAATTACCATTTGGAGCAGAGCAGATCCCTTTGTTACAAGTGATCATATGCCTGCACAGCTCTGCTGTAATTACACAGCAAGTCATGCACCTTCAGCCCGATGGCTGGTTGCAAGCTGCTGTACGGGTGAACCCAAGTTTGGGAGTAAAAGTCCTTCAGCAGTCGGATATGTGATGGAAATGCCGTGTTAAGGCTTCTAAATGCTTGAGATGATTGCCCTACGTGTTCCAGCTGTGCCTGGGTTGTTTTCTAGGCACTGCTCCTGCCCTTCTCTCTGCCTGGTGGCTTCCTTCCCACAGAGGACGGCAGTGCTTTGGGCAGGAGAGACTTCCAACACTTCTGCATGATGGATTGACTGGAGGATCCGGCCAAAGCCTGGGCGTCAGATTTAATGTCATTTCTCCTGTTAACACAACGGGGTGGATTTCAGTCCATACTGCTGTGGAAAAAAAAAAAGCCTCAGCTGATTGACGTTTGCTTGACAATGGAGAGACTTAATCACTTAAGTTCTAACTTTTTTCCTCTTTTTGTATCTTTGTTGTTTTCTTGTGAGAGTACACTTGCTCTCTGTGAGCCGTGCATTTTGGACTTCCTACTGTGGGTGGTTTAATGCTGGTTTCATAGCCACTGTGTATTCTCCTGAGCCTGATTCACAGTGCTCGTGCTGGTGTGATCTGGAAATGATCCAGTGTCAATTGCACTGGAGAATGGGATTTCATCAAAATGTATTACAGGAATGTGCTAGTTCCAAAAACTTTAATCAGAGAGGGGATCTTAGAGCCAGAAGGTATTTTTTGTTGGGAAGGGACACTGGTGAATGCAGGTGCATCTTCAGTGCAGAAGCTGTTTTGACGTTTGTTTCCTACTTGGCAAAGCTGGTGTTTGAAGAGAGATGTGATTTTTTTTTTTGTTGTTGTTTTTTTTTCTCCTCGGTCTCTGGGCTGCCTGGCTCCCAGCACAGCTGTGGGTCCCATCTGCGGGGGTCCCACACAGGGCTCGGTTTGCCATGCATCACGGCAGTGCCACATCTCACCCTTCCTGGCAGGGTCTGTCTTGGGATCAAACGGGACTTTAAAAAATGGAATGAAGCCCACTATTTTCCATGGCATGCGTCAAGAGCTGGGCATGGCCTGTGCAGTAGCAGGCTGCAGGGAGTGGTTGCAGGCTGTGGGGCCATGAAGGGTGGCCATGGTGGGGCCTGGCCCAGGCTCTGTCCCCTAACATGTCACAGGGGGCTGCCTGGCTGGGGAAATGCTGGGGTGGGAGCAGCCTGAGTGCAGAGCGCTGGAGCTGTGTGGAGCACGGTGCTCTCATCTGACAGTGTCTCGTGCTGCTCATTCACACTCATTAAAAAACTGCTGGACTGCTTGGTACCTGAATGTGCATCCTCTGTGCTTGGCTGCTCCATGGGTAGGCTGGTATCCCACCATGGTTGCTGGGTGCTCTTGGCATTGTCTGCAGCTGGGGAGGAACGTGGCTGCTGTGGAGCACCCTGATGGAGCCCTGCACCAGCCCTGCTGGTGGTTGGTGCTGTGGGGTGGATGCACAGCAGTTCTCTGTGGCATCGTGCCACCTCCTCACAGCCAGCACCTGTGCCAATCTGTGCTGCCTTTACCTTCAGCCCTGTCACCATGGGCAGCAGGCGTTCCAGGGTGGCTCAGCAGATGCCCTGGGAGCCGTGCTGCACCACGTCAGGTATTACACCTGCTTGCAGATGGCTGAGGCCCTCGGTTGTGTTTATCAGGCTCTTGTTCTTTATTCCTTTCTGCTAGCTGTCAGGAAGTTTGGCTCCGGAGCTGCAAAGAGCCAGCTTGTTCTTCCCCACTTTATTTTGATCCTTTTGAAATGCTCAGGTGCTGACCCATAGTAGATGCTGAACTTAAGACGTAGCAGCTGCACTGAAATACAGGTTACTGTTTATATCTTTACAGAAGGATCACATAAACCCATTCAGCTGAAGTAAGATCTGTCTGTGCAAGAACAAACATGAGTTCAGGGGCAAAACTCAACTCCAGTGCCTTAAAATAAAACAGAAACAAAGCACTTTGAGAAACCTGAGAGAGGTTCCTGGAACACTCGTTGCGCTGCTATTCCATCTATGCACAACAAACAAACCATTGTTATTTCTTGCTGTATGATAAACTGCCACTATTTCTTGCTGTGCAATGGTCCTCCTCTCAGGATCCCACTCTGGCATTCATCAGTTTGGTTTCAGGCAGTGCTCTGCAGGTGCTATGCAGCCTCACGTTGTGTTGAAGTGGCATAGCACTGGCAAACTGAGCTGGAACATAAATCAACTGAAAATATCAATAATAATCCCCTAAATTGCTCAGTGGTTTTCTGGGATGCTTTTTACTCTGTAAGTATTCTTTATTCACTAACAACACTGAAGGAGTGATGAAGGCAGGAAGGGCCTGCCATGGCAGGGCTGCTCTGCTGAGACTTGGTTGTCCCACTTTGTGGGTTTGGCTCTGGGCTCCTGGTGCCTGAGCAGCATCTGAGTGGTGTGCCGTGTATCAGGGCAGTGCCACATCTCACCTCTCCTGGCAAAGTCTTGCAGTCCTGAATGAACAATGCAGAGCACATGGAAAACCAGGGAGCTCCATGAAAACTTCTGACTAGAACCTGGATGTTATTTCTCAGCAGCAAGCCCTCAGGATGATTTGTTCAACTCTTGGTTGTAATTCCGTGACTTCCAGTTCAAGAGCATTTCAAAGTAAGCAATCTGCCAGATAAAAATGATCCTTGATTTAGTTTCCCTGGATTTATTAGTGTGTCTGCCTCTCTCTTCTGGTGCTGTTGAATCTGATGTAGTTTTGAAAACTCTCACCCACAGAGATCACTGAGGATGTGTTCCTGGCTGTTAAGGGTGCTCAGTATGGAAGCATTTCAGAAGAAGAAAAGGGGGAGTCAAAGCCACAGCAAGATGTATTAGCTAAATATCAGCAACAGGCATGTGTAGGAATGGTTCTTATAGTGTTGTTCTGCTTTCAGAAAGCCATTCCAGCAATTAGTGCTCCAAACCTGGATGCACAGAAGTTCTTTATTTTTTTTTTGTGCTTGCCCAGATTCATGTTAAACACATCCAGAAATGCCTTGTGTGAATTTTGTCAGTTGATACACAAGTACAGCAAAGAGATGGAGGTACCTACTGCCTTACGTAGCACAGAAATGCAGTATCTAGAGAAATTGTCTGGGAAGTAGGCAGAGAGCTGTAAGGCCAGTCAACATTGTGCTGCGCTTTAAGTAAGGTCTAATTAAGTAAACCTTTGAAGAGGAATTCGTTGAGATAAGTCAATGGGAAGAACTAGCTCCCCTGGGACTGGATTTCAGACACATAAATGTGGATGTGAACACTTCTTTATTATAAAGATATATGCGTAAAATTGAGAGCTATTTTTATTTCTTGTCTCTCTGCTCTTGAAGTTGGACCTCCAGCTGATGTCCTAATCCTCTGTCACTTAATTGGCAGCTGGTAGTATTGCTTTCTTCGAGCCTCTGTACAGCA